TTGAAGATGGACTTACGGAGGAGTTATAATTGAAGATAAATGCATGCAACCACTCGTCGCCCATTAACCGTTTTACCAGTTTGTTGGAGACATTACGAGATAGTGTTGCTTTTCAATAGAGCGTGATTTCTTGAAGCCGTATATAAAACGAGCTCCAGCTCAAGTGAAGTATTCTAGATGAAGCCTTCACTTCTAGTAAACAACCAGTGCAGCATTCCAAGTACCTCTGCTTTCTCGAATTCTGATTTCTCTGGTTTAATACACTGTTCGAAGGTTGAGAGGCCCAAACACGCTATGGTTTGAATCCGGCTGAAGTGAACCAGGTCATAGGAATAGGCACTAAATCAGATTAGTATAGGGTTGAAAAAGGTTGCGCAGCCGAATAGTAAAAAACATACATTACTCGATTCTATACATAAGATATACATCATACCCACGTACTTTTTGCTTTCTTGTTTTATCGCTTTATAAGCTCCGTATTTAAGCTCTTGCCCGAGTGTCTAAAGCTCTTTTGAGTCCGAAAAATTCAGTCGGAAAACGATTGGCTCGGTTGAACCGTTTGAAGGTTTGGAGACTCAAGCAAACTTTGAGTAGTGTTCGGCTAAATCACTCTTGTCCTCGTACTGGGACGGGCTATAGATCAGACTAGCGGAGTGCTTAATAAGGTTAGACACCAAAATTCTAAAAAGTTTCCCTTTTATTTCCTTTGGCAGAACGCTATACTTGCAAAATCACAGTAGCTAGTGACAAAGTAAATGGCCTAAGACCTGAGACCGCCGTTCATGGGGTCTCATTGCCTAAGGGTGCATTATGATTAGTGTTGTGATAATCCGCCCTCTGGTTAGCGGTTAAAAAACTTGCCAACAAGCGGCAACTACTGCAGCACCTTGATTCCAAAGTTTTCAATTCTCCTAGCTGTATTAGAGGCTTTTAAATACAATCCATTAACGGAACCTAATCAAATTCCGTTCCTTTTCGCAATTCACTCTCACTGTTATCAATTACCGCAATTATTCCAGTGACTGATTCGTTGCAGGTTACAAGGTTAACAATGGCGCGTTACTTCTCGCTTCCTTTACTGCTGGTGAGCGGTCGTCTTGAATTTGTGTAATGAGACGGTAGCATTAAGAAAAATCTGTTCCATTCAGATTGCTCTATTAATGGTGTGCTCGCTGATTCCGAGCACTTCTAGCAACATTGTCGAGAAAAAGCCAGATGGAAGGAAAGGGTGAGTTTTCTAGCAACTGTTGATATATTGCCCAAAAAAGATCAGTCAGAAAGAAAAATGGAAGTAGCTAATGAATTTTACAGCGATGTGAAGGACGAAATTCCTCCCAAACCTAAAAGAGATGCTGACGATGAGAAGGACAAAATCCCTCACAAACCTAAAAGAGAAGCCGACGATGAGAAGGGCAAAATCTCTCCCAAGCCTAAAAGAGAAGCTAGCGATGAGAAGGCCAAAATCCCTCACAAACCTAAAAGAGCAGCCGACGATGAGAAGGGCAAAATCTCTCCCAAGCCTAAAAGAGAAGCTAGCGATGAGAAGGACAAAATCCCTCACAAACCTAAAAGAGAAGCCGACGATGAGAAGGGCAAAATCTCTCCCAAGCCTAAAAGAGAAGCTAGCGATGAGAAGGACGAAATCTCTCCCAAACCTAAAAGAGAAGCTAGCGACGAGAAGGACAAATTCTCTCCCAAACCTAAAAGAGAAGCTGGCGACGAGAAGTACATAATCTCTCCCAAACCTAAAAGAGAAGCTAGCGACGAGAAGTACAAAATCTCTCCCAAACCTAAAAGAGAAGCTGGCGACGAGAAGTACATAATCTCTCCCAAGCCTAAAAGAGAAGCTAGCGATGAGAAGGACAAAATCCCTCACAAACCTAAAAGAGAAGCCGACGATGAGAAGGGCAAAATCTCTCCCAAGCCTAAAAGAGAAGCTAGCGATGAGAAGGACGAAATCTCTCCCAAACCTAAAAGAGAAGCTAGCGACGAGAAGGACAAATTCTCTCCCAAACCTAAAAGAGAAGCTGGCGACGAGAAGTACATAATCTCTCCCAAACCTAAAAGAGAAGCTAGCGACGAGAAGTACAAAATCTCTCCCAAACCTAAAAGAGAAGCTAACAATCAGAACGTGACAGTGTGAGTTCTGGTTACAGTTTTACTCGTTCTTTCCCATTAATTTAATCGAATGTGATTTCAGCCGACCTTGATAGAATGATCAGTGCATGGGAATGGATCGTGTACTTAAGCGCGACATAGAAAATTCTTGCACCATTCTCTGCACTTGTGGCTATGCACTTCATCCTTTCCTCTAGTTCCATAATAAACCTATCGAAGACGCATTTTGTACCAGATGTTGCGAGATCTGTCTTTGAAAACTGCAGGGCTTCTTCTCTTGGTTGATATACCGTTCTGGACTGTGACCATATGACTGGTACATTAGTGATGGCGGGTAGTGTCAAGAAGAAAAAAAATGATGAATAGAAATCGTAGATTCACAGAATTGGCGAAATATCGTCAGAACTTTGGCCTCAGATGAGACTTTAACCCCTGGTTGCGCTATCCGAACACCGTACTCTATCCCTTACACTACCGAGACCCTCCTTACGTTAGCCTTTTCAGAGGCACAGTTCACTGTTTCCGAAATAGCTCTCTAGGATGGTTCTGTGTTTCAGTACTCCATACTTAGCACTGCAGATCGGAAAACGATCTAGATAGGGCGTCATAAGAACTTAAAGATTTTATCGGCTGTACGCCATACCCAAGGACGGGTTTCAACGTCCAACAACGTGTAGAAGTTGCATCATTCACGAGGGGTCCCATGAAGGAAGCTCAAACAACTTGTCATAACTTATGACGACGGTAAAAAGCAGTTTTGTTCGTTCCTGGTTTGCCCTTGAAAGCTCTTTATGCCATGGCAACAGCTGAGGCCTCCTTCAAACACCCAGCCCACGCTAGTTCGGTCTTGGTAATCTCGCAGAAGCTCTACTAAAGGGAATTTCTTGCTTCATGGGCCACCGATGCACTCATATCACAAACGCTTCGGCTTTCAACAAAAGAAGGGCATACAAAATTATCATAGACTATGTTTCAATGATTCTTATGCCATGGCTTACCAGCACTCACTCGTGCAACTGATGTGGGATAAGAGCAAGGATAGCATGTGGATGTGACCGATGAAGAAGCACTGCAAGGTCAGGAAGAGAGGATGGATCGGGAGGGGAATCGCTGAGGCTGGGTGCTTTTTTGTAATGAGACGGCATCGAAAACAGAACAGAAAGAACAGAAAACAGAAGAAAACATAATGATGGTTTCCGATTACTTGACAATGTGTTGGAGCTTCTGTAGTATTCGCGATCAAGAGACGAGTCTGAGTTATCGCTTCCCCCTAGATATAGAGTCTAATCTGTCGAAGAGAAATCTTCTGTAGTTGAATCGATCTCAGAACTCATTAGAGAGAGACGACTGTTAGTCAGAAACAAAAAACAGAAAAAACTAAATTAATGATTCGTTCCGCCTCTATCACTCATACAAAACACATTGTTTGCTGACAAATTAAGCTCGTCGGTGAATGAGAGATGACAAAAAACAACATAACTCAGCACCTTAAAATCTTCTTAAACAAAAGTGACATATGGTAAGAAGAGCGAAATCAAAAATGAAAAAAACAAATGTAGAGATACCTCAAAAAATTTACAAAAATACGTACTTCCTAAAAAAAACCCACATTGAACACTCAGTGAACAGAAGTAATGTAATGATAATAGAATGTCATTAACTAGGAAGCGGAGGAGTGTCGGGTTTCGAAAAAATAAGTTGTTGTAGGTAAGCCACTAAAAACTTGAATCCTAAAAAATCTGATCCAAAAAGCTGTGGAAAAGGAGTCTAAATAAAAGTGATTGTGGACGGTCTGATGTTGCAGTATGCCAAAAGTAGTCGATTCCCACCAGAATGTCTGGTGTAACCATGCGTGTAGCCGTAAGTGAGGTTAGTCAATATCCAGGAGTCGGAGGAATCGCATAGTTTTCTGTGTGATGTTGAAAGAACAAGGAAAAATATTGTTCTTGTACGGAGAGCAATCAAAAGTCTCTTCTCTCGATTATCGATAGCAGCAATACCTATTCACCCCAGCCACTCTGTACGTCTGTGATTAACAGAGTCATGAATATTCGCAACATCGTGGAAGTTTCCGCTCATTTTTGATTCCAGTTCAGTTTTACTACGTCATTACCGAAGGAAACCCGGCCGATTTGCTTCATGTGGAATCCCCACCAGTATCGCGAAGGATCACATTTGAAGGTAAGGTCCTCTTTTCTCCAATCACAGCCATCACAATGGCTTGAAGCAAATAACTTCACATCACCACCTGCGAGTGACAACGAGGTGCACAACAATATCAGACTTTGTCAGTTATTACCTTTCACTAATCCTCTCTGTCCAGTACACTCTCACGTTTAACCGCCTTTGTTCGGGAGCTTTTCGCAATTTCTGCTCCGAAGACTAATGTCTGCGTCACACTTTACTGCCTCTAAGAACATTTCTCCAAAGAAGTTCCAAGGTGCCGAGGCTCTTCTTATCAAGGAACACGACCACCCAAGTGAGTCTTTCCTTGCCGCTTTAGCGATGAAGACAATCGTATGTCAATAACGGGTTTTGTATCGTCTTCCCGAGCGGAGTGCCGCGCACACCGCACTCGATCTCGCGCGGTGGAGGGAAATATTTAAACTCTCAGTGGAAGGATAGGGCAGTCGTGGCAGAGCCACTGCCGCTGGTCATGGCCATGGTAACTGGGAGAAGTTCCGCTACCCACCGGTAACCATACTCATCGTTCCAGCCCATTGCCTTACAAGACTGATTATCAGGCATGACCATCTTTTACAATTTCACTCTGGGGCACATGTCACCATAACCACACTTCGCCGCTCCCACCTGAATCCATCAAATCAGCATGCTTTGTTAAAACTGCACATCCTGCATCGTTTGCACAAGGATGAATGGTTTATCTGATGCTATGCTGCTATGCTGAGCCTTCTAAAGGAAAAGTAAATAATTCGAGATCATTCTAGAATCTACTGAGCTCTTGGACTTCTTCGGTCACCTCCGGTACAAGAATGCATCTGCTACGACGTCGAAAGTGTGGAGCCCGCTGTTTACCTGCATGACAACCAGGGCAGCACATCTCGAAATCGTCAATGACAACTCAACTCACGAATTACGGCTTGGACTTCGCCACTTCGCCGCGCGACGAAGAACTCCGCATAATGACTTAGTGGCTTTACCATTGTTTTGCACAGCAAAAATTACTCTACAGCACTTCTTACGAGCGATGCCCTCGCCACATTCAGTGAGAATTCGTCACGCTGTTAACATAATGGAAAGAAGGATTTTGTGGGCGACTTGTTNGTTGATCGGTTTCTACCCACTCCCCGAAATAGAAGCCGTCTAACACTCTTGTTCTCACATCTATTTTCGATAACATCTCACTCACCCATTCAGTCATCCATTCACTTCGACCTTTTGATTTTCTTCGACCACAAGTCAACCTCCATTTTCCTACTCCGAAAATTTCTCACTTCTTCTATCCCGTGTGTGCGAATATATTTTTGATCGCACCTAATCAAACTCGCCTCGCACCTAGGCTCGAAGTTACCTTAATTAGGTGCGAAGACTACGCTATAATTACGCTGCCAGCACTCGCTACTAGTTGAGTTATAACTTGTCCAGTGAAAAGAATAATGATAGTTGAAGAAATGGAGTTTCTATTAGGAAAGTGAGTTTTTTTGAAGGAAAAGTTCTAATATCAATTCCGACGTTTTTGAGAGTTTTATTTCCACGCGTAACAAATAAATTCAATATATTTTATGATTAAGGTTTTTGTGACGTGGGAGAGAACGGTTCATTTTCTTATCAATAAGAATACTTGAATTAAAACCAAAATTTTAAGCGGAAAAGTCAAGTGATTTTGTTTGTTACAAATTTGGACATCTATATACAATTACAATTTATACAAATTTATTGGCGGCTTGCTCCTTGCTGTTGAAGTTCATCGAACCTCGGAAAATGTAAAATATTGCTTACGGTTGTTAGGAGAAAGCTTCTCAAAAATCACACCTTTTCATTTCCTTGTTGATCTTTTCTTTCCTCCGCTGGTATTTCCTTTGCAAAGTTTTGGCTCCCACTGAGTTCTGAAAAAGAATTTTCAATGAAATTTCGTCTTGTCAGTTGAGTGAAAGTCCGTTTCCGGTTTCCAAAATCATCACTTCCTTAAGACGTATAGGGACAGCCCTCTCTTCATAATTGACTTCAATTCCTCGGAATCTCAGTCACTCGAGGAGTAGCATACCTGCGAAAAGCGTCAGCGAGATTAGTTGTTCTCAACTCCTTGAGCTTACACCATAGATCTTAAGAAAAAAGTACATTTTGTGCATGTATTGATGAAAACTGAAACTTGAGCTAACTTTGATCGTTTGTCACCATTTTACGATGCGATCATCTCTTGACGGCCCTTGAATGTGTTTAAGAAGTGCTAAGCGATCCGTTTCGCGGTTCTAAGCTTGCGCAAGGTGGAATGAGCATCCTTCGACAGTAGCGCTAGGGAACACGAGTTTGGCAGCCTGTATGGCTGCTTTTCCGAAACCGAGCACTACGTGCGAGCTATTTCTCCTTCGATGTTCTGCTTCAACTGCTCGCTCTAATATTTTTTGTAAACCTCGCGCGTTCTTTTCTCAATTATGCAGAACACTAACGGAACTTCTACTCCATGGAGACTTCTACTGCGCATAACGTTCCAAACATTTCGGTCTCAAGGAATGCACTCCGTCAGATAGAGTAGCGTAAAGGCCATTTGCGCAGGCTATCTGAAAGTATGATGAAAGCATCTCATTTTGAAACGGCTGTCTGCTACCAATACCTGGATGGTTTTCGCTGAGTAGAGGAAGTGAAACCCTGCTCCCCAAACTTGCTTAGCGAGCCATCTTGAAGGATGCGAAATTCTCTCGGAAGGTGCTCCATGATTACTGAGCGGTCTTGCCATAGGTTCATGTTCTTTTCTAAAGCTCGCCTTCTTAATCTGCAACCTGATTCGCAAGTTACCGCCATAATTCCATCCATCATCTCTTCTGCAAAACTGTGCTAAAATGAAAG